TGGAATCAACATTTACTTGTCCAGGATTTTCCTGACATCACGTGGAATAACTCAACAGATGGCTCCCAGAACATGAGTGGCGCATCTGGTCTTTCAAGAGTAGCAGGTAGAAGAAGCATGGCATAAACTGGAATCCCCAACTTGTGGTGGGTGACAGAAAAACATACCGCTTTCATATCCATTTAAAGAAACTCATTCCGTTTTAAAAGGAAAAGCTCAAAAGATGATTTCCCTGTAAAGAGAAAAAGTGTCTCAGGATGCTTATCAGAGTTCACCATTCAAAAAAAGATACTTTGTGGAATTCTCATCCAACAATTTTCAGTCTCTCTTGAAAAAAAATGCAAATAGAGTCTGGAACAAATTTAAGTAAATATCAATCCTGTGCAGGGAAATTCCAGTCTTACAAATTGTAACCATCAATACAAGGGGTGGTCTAAAATTTTGTGGAAAATGTGTTTCATAAAAAATAGATTTTAAAATATTTCTTGTACTAAAGCAAGTTAGTTTGTAAATCCATGCTTTCATAAACTTCTTGAATTCCTCTTATAGTAAGTTCCTATTTACATATTGCAAGGCTGTAAGATGTATTTTTATAGATTAAAAAATACTACCCTAGTCAAGATACAAATTCATATAATTAGTTTGTTACAAATTTTATGTGGTTGAGTCCATCTTTAGATTCTGTAGCTCAAAAAATAAAATCTCCAACTGCATGTCTAACAGAAATTTCAAATGACTAATGATAAGATTAGCACAGAAAAAAATCATTTTTTTGTCTAAATAATATAAATAACTCAATAAGACACCTGAATTTCACCTTAGGACTTTTTGACAGCAAGGGCTGGGACCAAAGGAGATTGCATGGCCTTTCTGATGTGACCAACCTCAGTTAGCAGAAGTGGAATGTTCATGGCCAAATAAGGCCTAGTGAGGCAGCCGGGGTGCGCATGGAGTGTTCCATAATATTATAACTATGGCACCACGAGGACTCTGCATCCTTCACACATCTGCCTTCTTTCAGGGGCTATGGCAGCCCTCATTTTTGTAAGATCTCTTTTTAATTTCTGATATACCTAAATTGCAAAGATTTTTTCATTACACTAAGTTCGTGACTATTCCTAACAACTGAATAATAAATTTGGCCTAGTCATCACTCTTCCATAGTTTTCCTTTAATAATAGTAAAGTTTATTAAATATTGTATATGCCAGGAACTGTTCTAAGTCCTGTAAGTATGCTCGCTTATCTAGTCCTCATTGCAATGAGTGGTTCTATGAGTCAGACATCCTTTATTGGTTCCATCAGACAGACATGGAAAGCCAGCCTCAAATCACACTTGGAGTCACCGTGCAATATTGTCTTACATGTTAGATTTTTTTAGACCTGAAATTATTCTACTAACAAAAAAGGACAGCTGCATGAAATAATTCTGCTTAGGGATGAATTCTACTTTAAGTAAAGCCAACAAAACTTTTGTTAGCATCCTTTACATGCCAAGGCTGTTATAAGCCTAGTAGGTACCTTGTTATTTCCATTGGAATAGGAAGTTGAGACAAGAGAATGGGTGTTTGCATAAGGTCACTTGGCTAGGACCCTATAAAAATGAAGGAAAAATTGTCAGTTGTTGCAAATATTGGGACATTCTAGTTCTGCCTTCTTGTCTGTAAACAAATCTTTGTCACTCTAAGCGATCTTACTTACAAATGAAGGTGAGACCAAGTCATGATCCATATGGATCCATGATCCATGAGGCCCCAATGACTGGCTAGAATTAAGGATACAAAGTTACAAGAAATCGTGTATGCAAAAGATCAACACTAACTCTAGCTTTTGACCTAACTGTACCTTCCAGCACATCTCGGCCTATCTCCAGCAGTGGGTCTGGAAAAGAAACCTAGTGGGAAGCTAAGGAGACAGATGATATTTCCACAGCCTACAGAAATGTCAGTTTCAGCTAACATCTGCCAACAAGCCCATATATTCTCAAAACTGAGTAAACCCTGACTCCGCTGCTTGCCAGCTATGGAGTCCAGGGCAAGCGTTTGCTCAACACTCCCCGCTCTGTGTCTTTCTGGGAAGACAGTCTTTCTGTAACAGAGTTGCTGAAAGGATTAGTTGAGATAATCTAAAACTTGTGGAGCAGCACATGACCTACAATAAAAAGTTAATCTGGGTAACTGTAGCTGAAGATTTCTACTCCTCTGAGAGCTGAGACTGAGAAGTATTAAGACCTTCGATGCACAGAATTCTCTCTGAAGTCCCAGGAAATCTCAAGTTCCTCTCAGGATTTGGAAAACTAAACTCATCATTTTCATGTTCCAGGAAGGCAGTCTGGTTACATCTGCACCCTGGGTGAGATAGCTATGACTTGTACGAAACTAAGTTTACTGAGGTTATTTCATTCCAGAAGGTCTGGGTGTCTGAGACCAAAATGAGCTAGATGTTTTGTTTCCCCACTGAATTAATGCAAAGAAGCCGTCAATAGCTAGTCAAGCAAAATTTTCTAAGGTTTATCTGGGATAAAAATTCTACCTTCTACCTCTCTTGAAGTCAGAAGTAGTGCTTTGTTATTTGCTGATTGTCCTCTGCTGCCTTTTCTGAGAATCACTTGGTCCTCTTAAACAAGTAGCTAGCTTTCTCAGTGTATACTTGGGAGCATAGGAAAGGCAATGGAAGGGAAAACTTAGGGACATTTGACAGTTTCTTGGAAATGACATTGGACAATTAAAAATGTACTACCACCTGGAGGGCTCATGACTCCTGCTTCCCACACTTACATGTGAAGACTTGTTGTCACCATATAGAAGAGCCTCATACAAGAATCCGCAGCTTTGACACGAGTAATTAGCTGAAAGCAGATGCAACCTGGAAATAGACTAGACCCCCAGTTGATTTGTTACCAAGTAGAATAGTTTATGAAATACCCTCACTCTTTGCTAAGTAGAATGTGTGCATATATGACTATAAACTAGGCGAAACCAATACTCTGAATTGAAGTAAGGCTTTTAAAGCTGAAGGGGATCATAGAGATTATATTATTCACCAGAGGCCCAGACGGATTAAGTGATTTGTCTAAGGTTGTGCAGATAATGAGTGGCTATCCCAGATTTCAGCTGAGGCTTGCTGGAACCAAAGTTGGGGGGAGACCTCCTTTTCTTCAGCATGGCTCTGGCAGATCACTTAGGGTAACTGCCACTCAGGGAATTCAGCCTCTGGGCCATCCACTCGGCCAGGCTCTGCACAGTTCAGTACCCTCCACCCTGCTTGGCGCATATCACATCTCTAGTAGGAGTGTCTAGTACCATATTTTTTGGGGGGAAAAAAGCATGCATGGATTTCCAGAGGGGTTTGCACCAAAGTAAACTTCTATTTTAGTTCCGTTTTTTTTTTTTTTTTTATGGACTTACTGAAGTACATCCAGTTTACACAACAGATGGCTAACACCTGTAGCAGGTTTGTGGCTTGTGGCAGGTGGAAGGCTACATCTCAGCTAGTGGGGTCCAATCTCTGGTCTGAGTCTGCACTCCTTCCACAGAACCAACTGCTTCTCCCACAGGGACCAACACGTCCACCACTCTCCAACGCTCCTCTACAAGCTGTATTTTAACCTCCTGCAGTGCAGTTTTGGCTGCCTTTCACTGAGGAATCTATATGGCCAAAAGAAAACAGAACCATTTCCAAGAGGCTCAGCTCGCACTCAGCGGAAGAAACCTCAGCATTGTAACTCCGTCCACCCTTACTGCAAATCTGCCGCTGACCTCTGATCATATGAGGCACAAATGATCTACCAAATGATCAGAACATCACCTTTGTGCCTTTATTAGCCATGGAATTGGAGCTATGAATTTAGAATCAAAGAGTGAAATCCGAGAGGATGGGAAGAGAGCATTAAGCCCAGTGATTCAAGTAAATGAATACTCCAAGGTATAGTAGCAGCGGTACAGAGAACAACTATTGATCTGATGCTGCTTTCTATCTGAAAGAGAAATTCCCTAACACTAAATACTTCCCTGTGTCCTACGTCAAAACACGCCGGAAATTGAGCAGTGATGGTGCTGAACACGCTGGAAAGACAGCTACCGTCACACTCACAGCGGCAGCGTCACAGCAAAATATTTCTGATCCACCAGATGAACTGTGAATTGCTGACTGTGTTTTAGAAGCACTCGTTCCAAGGCAAAATGAGGCAATATTGTGTTTAACCGTTTGTTTGGAAACTTCCTTTATTAAAAAAAAAAGATTTTAAATATTAATGCTATTTTCAATACAGGTGTGATAATACTCGTTAAAGCATGGTGTACCTGATATTTATTGTGAATTTAGGAAAGTAACAGTCCATCTGGCTCCTGGCCCCCTCAGCCGCTACAGCATACCCTGTTGCCAAATGCAAAACATTCTTTTTAAAACTAAGGAGGCCTTTGGACATTTGCATGAGCAGAGAGAAGGGGGCTGGGGCAAGGAAAGTGCTCTTTCCAGATTACTCATGCTTTTGGCTTTGACATCGTTTAGTAAGAACAATTCTAAGAGGACCGAGACAAACTCTTGCACTCCCGCAAAGGGAGGGAAAAAAAAGCTTGTCATTCACAAGCAGCTATGGACAAAACCCGCGGCAGAGGACAGGAGTCAGGGAGATAAGGGATCAAAATAATGATAGTAATAATAAGTTGGCGTAAAGTGCACAGTAACTGTCAAAAAATATATCATTTTCATCCTAAGAAAATTAAGGGAATTTAATCTAGATTTTTAACTAGATTGCTGACCTTTTAATACATTTGGTTTTCATGGAACATAAAATCACCATCGGACATAAAAAGACTAGTTTGCTTTGTCTTTTAAAAAATTGCTCGGAGTTATCTACAGGAATTTGTGAACGCAACTCAAGGATAACATTCAGCAGCTCTTTGGATATTGAATGGATTCCTCGGATCAGTCCACAAAGGAAGCAGGGAACTAGCAGCGCACTGCCTCGAGTGGGCATCGCTCGCCTCGCTGCTTTCCACTCTAAACGCCAGTGCTTTCCACCTCGTCTTCCACCTCCAAGGCATGAGAGCGGGAGATCAGGAAGAGTTTCTCCCGGTTTGTAAACTGCTTCTGCACCTGCTGCGATGGCTCGGCCACGGGCGGCTCTTGGCTGGGACCCTCCGGGGTGCCCTGCTCCGCAGCCGTGGTGGTGACCGCGCAGTCCTGCTTTTCACTGGTTACTAAGTCCACCACGGACTCCAAGGAGGTGCCGGTCTCCCACAGCGGGGTGTAGCCCTTATTGCTGCTGGATGGGTCATCTGATTGTGAGCTCTGCGAGTCCCGCCTTGCAGGGGGCAAGTCCTCCCGCCGCAGCGAGGATGGGGATGTGGTGGCTGGGCCTGGGAGGCTGGAGTCTGGGTCGGCGCCGCGCGGGGAGGGCGGGGGCTCCGGCGACGGCGGTGCCCGGTAGTCCGGGAGCCCGCTGGTGCTGCGGCGCCGCAGGGGCGCGTACCTGCCGGTCCTGGGCAAGCGCCTGCCCTGCCCTCTGGCGGTGCGCGCTGCTGCCGCGCCCTCAGCCTCCTCCTGCTCTCCGTGCACCCAGCGCGCGCCGCCCTCCGCGCCACGGAGGTCGCTCAAACTCAAGTCAAGCTCGCCCCGCGGGATTTCTCGGGAACCGCGTTCCCCGGGCGGCATCGGCCAACTGCAGCTCGCGCCCTCCGTATCCCCATCCCTATTGTGGTCCCCTTGCAAGGGCACCAGCGCGAAGGCGCTCAGCGAGGAGCCCACGATGGAACTGGTGGTACTCTGGCGCCCCCAGCTCTCGGGTGGGCTGCATCGCGCCGGGCTGCTGCTGCGGCTGGCGGCGGCCCGGCGCTGGCCGGCCACGCTGGAGCGCTCGCGGTATATGCTGTACACCGCCTCGGCCAGGCTCGGGGGCTCCCGCGAGCTACGAGGGGATGAAGCCAGGTCGGGAGGAGACGCTGAGCCTCTGGCCCCGCCGCTGCCGCCGCCGCTCCCGCACAGCGCCGCGGGGTGGGGCCAGGAGCCCCTGCTCAGCATCGCAGCCGCCCCGAAGGCGTCCCCAGCACCTGTACAGCTCCCGGGTTTCAGCTCCAGGCCCCGCGACTGCACGTAACTGAGGAAGCCGTTGAGCGGCGGAGCCCCGGAGGGCGCCGCTGCGGGGGCGGTCGAGGAGGAGGCAGCAGCTGCTGCTGCGGCGGCGGCTGCGGCCAAGTCCTTGGCGCGCAGGCTGTGCACATCGATGACGGTGGAGTAGAGGTCCCTCAGGTTGATGATCTTGGTCTTTTTGTCCCGGTTCTCGTGGAGCACGGCGTTGGCGCAAATGAAGAGGAATATACCGATGCCCATGATGAGGGGTCCAAAGACCTTGAGCTTGTCCGAGTGCAGGTAACCGGAGAAGATGCGGAAGAAGAACCCTGCGGACTTGGAAGAAGAAGGTGATGGGGCTGCCGATCGCGCTGGAGGCGTGGACCGGGGTGCACCCACGGAACTGGAGTTGACTTCGCCTGAAATCCCTGGGTGGACGCTCCCAGGCCGCTCTTGGCCGCTGTTGCTGCTGTTGGCCATGGCCTGGACTTGGTGGCCGGTGCCCGCGAGTGGTAGCTGCTTATTACCTTCTTTACTGGCCCCATTGGCCTTAGGCCAGTAGCCCACCACTGCCATGGCTATGCCCACCAGCAGCACCAGGATCCCGCAGAGGGCAATGAGACCAGAGATGGAGCAGAGTTTGAGCTTGCCTTTCACCACCACCACGTCATTCTTGCGGCGCTTCTTGGCTTTCCTCTTGCGCTTGGGGACCTGGCTTGGGGGGCGCAGGGGATCCTGCTTTCTGGCCGAAATCCTCAGGAGGCCACCAGTGGCGATCATGGCGGACAGGTGTAGAGTGTAGCGCTAGCCCTGGGGCGCAGACTTCTGCAGGGTGGGGGGACGCCAGCTGCCCACTAACTGTTCCTCTGCCGCCTCTTTCTGCTGTAAAACAAACAAGGCAGTCAGAGGGTGTGAGCTGGGCTGCAGCAACATCCCACGCTCTGCCCTTGCCCCACTATGTGCGCAGCCCCACCTCAGGGCGTTCCCTCAGGAACTCAAGTGCGTAGAGACCAGGGGCGTCAGTGACCAAATGACCATCTGGCGGAAAGATGCTCTACCCCCTTGTCATCCCTGCACCCACATACTTCATAGGTGATGTCCATGCCAAGCCCTGCTGGCTGGCAACCAGGGGAGTTTCCATCACTACCAAAAACACAACCAATCAAGGCAGTGGTTGAGGATGCGCTGGCAAGAGCCTGTGTTTTTATCCTGCTGGAAAGGCCAAACCTCCCACAGAGATGCTCACCACAAGGTCGTGGGGGGGGTGGGAATTTCCAGTCCCTAAAGTGAATAATTTGTTCATGTGCAGTCCAAAGTTACCGAAACATCCAGGCGAGTTCCTAGTTCATGTCGCTGGGTGACAATGAAAGGTTATAGACCAGCAAGCACATGGCTTGTTTATTCCACATAACCAAAAGGCACTTCATTGCTGGGGAAGTCCCAGAATGCTAACCAGTATTCTGACAGCAACTCCCTTCACCAAGTGGTCTGCTGTCAGTTCTGGTTGCCCCAGCTAACAGTAAGCAGAGCCCTCTCTCCACCTTCTCCTCTGCACTCGGCAACATCTGGACAGCTTCTTGGGGTGGAATATTTAGTTTTAGGTAACTGCTTATGTAACTGAGCTCTTGCCTCTGGCCTCCGTCTCCCTTGGAGGAGCTCCCTTTAAGAGAGATTGCCTCAGGGGCTGTGAGACGTCCCCCTAGACTCTCTGAGAGAAAGACCTTGTTTCAAACAAGGAGAAATTGCAGGGTTTAAAAACATAATGAAAAAAAAAAAAACCTCTGCCATGATAGCTTTCTGACCCTTTATTAGCGTGCAAACAGCACCCTTTAGCATCTCAGTATTCAAATGAGTAAGCAATTAACTAGGTAAGACAGTGCACTTTCTAATGATAGCATTTCCGCAAGTGAAAGCAGTGAAAGCTGTCTTCCTCATCCTTCTCTCTGAGGTCACGTTTAGGAGGGGAAGGGGGGCCACAAGCTAGGGCTGGTCCTCAGGAAGTTTGTTTATCTGTTTGCAGTAACACCTTGGCAGGAAAATTCCCTGGTGGATATTCCTGGCTATGTGGCAGCTTCTGAAAATCTCAATCCAGCTGGGTTCTTGGAGTGAAGCATTTTTTTTTTAATTCCATTTGTTGTGTTCTCTCCTATAATAGAGATGCTAAAATTAAGGGCCTTGTATAAAGCTGAATTTGAAGATACCACTCACAAGCCTCTTGGTATTTTATCCTTTCTGAGATAATGTATTTTTTTTAGAATAAATTACTCTTGGAAAATATGAGCTCGCTGGGGTGGAATTTTGCTTTCTGTTGTCACTTGGGTAAAAAGCTTGAACCCTGGAGTCCTTCCCTGACTCCAGAACACGCCAGCTCTGCTCTGTGGGTTTGCAAGCAAATGATCATGAGCCCTTTGCACATCAACAGCTCCTCAGAACTTAGTTGCGCTTTGGAGGAAAGAGAAACTCGGTCAGGAGACAGATTTCATTGATAAACTTAAAAATTTTGTCTAAAGAGCTGCACCTGTAGGTACAGGTTGCTTTAAAATAGTGATAACCCAAAAGATTTTAATGTCTACCCACTAGCTTCTAAAAATCAGCAGAGTTATGGTGAGGCTGCTGTCTTAGCTGATCTCTGGACTCCAGCATCATTCATGATCTAGATAGCCATCATTATCTTCGCAAGCCTTGAAGGACCAGACATCTTGAGAACAAACCCAGACTCCCACCGACTGTGAGCCTGTTTGAGGGGGCGGGGAGGGACCAGACAAGGTGCATGGGGATGCCTGTTTGTCTCCTCAGCAAGGCAGCTTGGGCTGGGGTGGTAGGTCAGGAAGGTAAAGATGCATTTCAGCAATCGTGCACAGAAAATCTTTAGAATTAGCCCAGTTGCCAGTCATTCGTTCCCCACTCCTTTCTAAATGAAAGCAGAACTCCTTCCGATGGTATCACCATCTGCCACCAGATGCTGACCAGAGGGTCAGCTGCTCACAAGGGTCCTTCTTAGAGGGCTTTCCCGGAGACCCTAGCAAGAAAACAAACTTGGCAGCAGAGGGCGGCTACCCTCGCAATTTGCTGCCTGGAGCCGAACCTCCTGCCGCTAAGGAATGGAGGATGGGGAAGTAAAGAAGGGGTGTCTAAAAATACAACCGCTTCCAAGAGAGACATTCAAGTTCTTAGCTCAGGGTGGATGAAGCCCCGCGCGGGGAGGGCTGTGATTCCATGTCCTGCTGCGCCCGGCGTGGAACCCCGGCCCTCGGAACCCCGGGGTCCCTCCTGGGCTGGCAAGCAGAGCAGCAAAACCCTGGCCCCGTCTTTTTGGGTCTGCTTATTCAGGCTGGAGTCACATGAGTGCAGCAGCTCCAAGTCCGCCTTTGGAACCCAGACAGGCAGGAGCAAAGTGAGACCGAACATGGACTCGCTTTGTGCGGGGCAGCGTGTCCCGGGTAGCCCGCCCGGGCAAAAGCTTTCCAGGACCCCCAGCCCGGTGGCCAGTGGCTGGCGAGCCGGGAGAGCTGGGGAGGGTCGGCCAGGGAGCAAGCCCCGGCAGATTTGCTCAAAATGGCAGCAGTCTAAGCAAACAATCTCACTTACCCAGGGAGCGCGGGGAAGCTCGCGGCTGGCCAGCTGGCGCTCGGGCGACACAAAGGAACCATGGAGAAACTTTTTCAGCCCGAGCCGACGGCTGAGCGCGGGGACGGCTGTTCGGGCTCAGTGCGAGCGCGGCTCAGCAGCCCCGCGGGGGCGATCGCCCGCCCCGGGCTCGCAGCCCCCTCCGGCGCAGTGGCGGGAGCCATTTCCAAGAGTTTCCAAGAAGTGTCAGGTCCTCCGCATCCCGCATCCTGCTTCGGAGCCCTCCTCTCCCGCGCTGCTCCTCCTACTCCTGCGCCCCGTGCTCCTCCCCGTGTCGCTCTCGGGCAGGCGCCTGGGCCGAGCGGTCCTTGGTCCTCGAGCCTCTGTTGTGTGGCTGCGGCGCGCTGGGCTCCACCGGGTGGAGTTGAGCCCGCGGCGGCGGCGGCGGCTAGGGGCGGCCGGACTGGCGCCGTTGCTAAGAGACCGGAGCCATGACACAGGGATATTGCGGCAGGTTGGCAGTCGGTACTGGCCCGGCGCGCCGGCCCGTGCGTCCCCACCCCCACTCGTCTCGCCCTTACCCCCTCCAGTCCCGACCTCACCCCCTCCGCCGGTCTTCGGGTCGCCCCCACAACCCTGGTCTCCTCCCGCGCCCGCCCGCCCCTTCGGAAGCGCGGCGCCGTGGAGTGGGATGGGTGGCGCTAGCTGGTGCACTGGAGGTCCCCTCCGGTGCGCCCCAGGACAGCCGCCTGCACTCGCAGGCAGCTCGGTGCCTTCTGAACCAACTACCTGTCTGAGCTGTGAGTGGAGGGGTGCAAGAAAAAAGGCTTGGCCCTACCAGATGGGGTCCCCAGGGAGTCCAGAGGAGTCCGGGATGCCCATCCACCAAGCCCTCCCGTCCCTCTTCCTTGGCTGCCACTGCTGGTCTGCGCGCCCCAACCTCGGCTTTGCCCCTTTCCCGCTCGGGAGTTTGCAGTGTGGACGCCCGGCGAACACAGTGAGTTGTCCCCCGGCGAACTCCCTCGGGCCCCCGGCGTAGGGGGGTCACCCCCGCGGGGCTGGGCGCACCGTGGGACGCGTGGGAAGCCTCCCAGGCTACCAAGCTTCTGCAAAGCAAGGTTTTGTGCGCGCTCCAGCGGGACCGCAGCGACTCCCCCCGGGGCATGGGCGGCTGGGGCTTCTCTGAGGTTACACGGGGCTTCTGGGCTCTTCTTGCTTGGCGCTGTCATTGGCCAGCGCACAGGAAAACTATCATTCTCCAGGAATCAGGTTAGCATTGGGGGGGGGGGGGTGGAGGTGGGGGTAGGGAGGATATCCAAACTCCCTACGTCATTTAAAACAGGGAGAAGGGAAGAACGAAAGAGGCATGCTGTTTCCTAGCTCATCCCCTCTGTCTCTACTGCAAAGTCAAAGTCAAAAAAAAAAAAAAAAAAAGACAGGCCAATGAGAATTGCAAAGTGGAATTTCCCCATGGAGTATTGAGAAAGTAAGAAAGATTACAATTATCCATTGAAATGAGGCAGCCAAGATTCAGGAAGAGAGAGCAGACGAGCAAGTGGCATCTGCGATCCAGAAAGAAATATTTGGAGGGAAGGATGTTGGGCATCCCGAGTTTTGCTGCGTAGGGGTCCACAAAGCCCAGAACGGAGAGCTTTGTTGCCCACGCTGTGATTATAGGATTGCTCCCAAGCTACGCAGCATTCCCTTGTGTTGAAGCCCTGAGCATACACTTTTCAAATTAAGAATGAAAGACGCAGGTTTAGTAGTTTGAAGTGGGGAAGTGGGAGAGGATAGGGGAGGGGATGCAATTTCTAGAAGACAGTGGTGCACCTGTCTGTTTGGAGGCGGCTATGGCACTCCAGCCAAGTGACCTTGCCTGTGTTACGTTTGGAGTGTTCAGAGCCTCCCTCTTTCCACCTGCTTCAATTCAGAACATTAAGAAGCCCTAACAAAGGGACGTTTGATGTCCCACATTGAATTCTTTCCTTGCGAAGATGTCACTGCAAAGGAGAAATAGCTCGACTGGTTCTAGTTGTTTTTGACAGCAACTTTGGCTCCAGACTTCCCGATTTGTCGACTCCTGATAATAATCTGGTGTTTTGCACAGAGGCTGGGCCTGCGGCTTCATTTCACTGCACAACTGGCTGCCAGGGGCCATCGGTGGCAGTTCCCATCCTGTCTTCTGGGCTGTATAAACAAAAATCACATTGCAG